TCCACGTATTGTAGACCACGCATTATACAATGTTCCGACCCTATTTTTTGGGTCCTTATCAAGTAGTACTAAGTGAGCCATCGTACAATGACAAACGTTGTATTAAACAAATGAAGGAATATGCCAGTTGGGTTGACTATAAGTTTCCCGTTTTAATTTTGAATCATCACTGGTAACTATAAGCAAACTCTCTTTTCGTTCAATTATTATCTTTGAAAAATATTACAATTGGAAAAAAAATTGCGACTTTTGTATAAATTTCCAAATAAAATATAAAATATAAATTGAAATATACATAGAAGTATCTGTAACAATCATACACAAAGAAGCGATGCGCCGAGAGATGTAAATTTGAATTCCGAAGTGAATGGAAAGAAGAAAAAAACAGATAAGAATTCGAAAGCGACAACCAGTCTTGCAAAAAAAATGCTAAAATACACATCAATTACGTAACAAACTATGGGATAATAAGGGTGACGGCGCATTTGCGCGAGTAACGCACCGATTCTTCCGTATCCAACTTTCTCTTACGAGAGTACGACAAGTGTTTCACTTTCTTCTGCGAAACTCGTTTGACGTTCACTACACGCGTATTTCACAATCAGTGTTGTATGTACGTGCACATTCGCTCGCGAAAATAAGTACGGATGCCAATTCAATTGTACAAATTTAATACTTAATAAGGGCAAGCGAAGTGAAAAAATTGGGAGAAACGTGGATTTCCTGAAAAACCCATATTTTATATATATGGATTTGTGTGTGTAAGTTTTATATTTTATATATATAATATAAAATTAAAAATATAAAGTAGTTTACCGGTTTATCGCCTCTTAATATTTCTTATATTATGAATATATTACAGATTAGATTTATAAAATGCTCACCACAGCGATGTTACTGCTGGTACTCATACTGCTATTGCTATACTTGAGCTGCCAAAAACCGAAAGGATACCCACCAGGTAGAAATTACTTCTTTTTAAAAACTTCTTTTTTAACATATAGCTCATATTTAATATTTTTTAGGTCCAAAATGGTGGCCCATTCTCGGCTGTGCGTTGGAAATAGCGCGCATCCGCCAGGAAACTGGATATCTCTCCAAGACCTGCTCAGCGCTTTGTAAGAAATACGGTTCTGTGGTTGGCCTGAAGATCGGTCAGGACCGCATCGTTATTCTGAACGATCTGGAGAGCACACGGGCGATGCTGACCAACGAAGATTGCGACGGCAGACCAGATACATCCTTTTTCAGGGCCAGAACTTGGGGCGTAAGACAAGGTAACTGCCCGCTCGAATAATAAACAAAATGAAATATACTTGTTGAATTTTGGAAAATAATTAGATAATAACTTGCGGCCAGGTCTCATTGTAGTGGATGATAGATTATGGGTGGAGCAACGGCGATTCGTCTTGCGACACCTGCGAGAATTTGGCTTTGGTCGCACCAGCATGGTCACGATAATCGAGGATGAAGGGTTGAAGCTGGTAGAACACTTCAAGAAGATACTTCAAAACGGCTATAATTACAACATTGCTGACGTACGAAAAATGACGACTATAAATAACAACAATAGTATCGGCCAGATATACAAACTGCAGAAGGATCCGAAGAACAAACTGAACAGGGTGAAGCTGTACGACGAATTCAATATAATCAAGAACAGAATTCCTAATCGTAAACCTCGCACAGTGGCGGATTTGTACATGAAAGCCGAAGACTATGCAGAAGTCAGAAAAGTCTCCCAATCTGCGGGAATGATCATATCTATGAACGATGCCTTTGGCGTGACTGTGTTGAACACCCTTTGGAGAATGATGGCTGGCAGAAGGTCCGCGTTGTTTATACGGATTGTTTCTACTCTTCCGCAAAAATGTTTAGAATCTACAGAACACATTCTTAAAGTTAATTCTTGATATTGATAATTCCTAATTTTTACAGGTACGATACCGGTGATAAGGAACTCACGCACTTGCAGCAAATCCTCACAAAGCTTCTGAAAGACATTGACATAATCGGCGCACCTTTCAGTCACTTTCCATTGTTACGTTTCATCGCGCCGGAAATGTCCGGTTACAAAGCGTTTGTAGAAACACATCAAGAACTGTGGGCATTTGTAAAAGTGAGTAGAAGTTGCACAATGTCATCGCATCGATGTATTACTATATTATTTCACGGACAAGTGTCTTCGAAAATAATGATTGAGAATGAATACTTTGTACTTTAGGAGGAATTGTATAATCATAAAAACACATTTTTATCAAATGCTCCAAGAGACTTGATGGACGTCTACCTAACTGTGCTGAATTCGAAAGATTGCAGCGATACATTTTCAGGTACTTAAAAGCATACAACTTCTGAATGACATTGTTACACTGAGTAACAATTTTATACAATAATTTCTGAAATAATTTCAGAATCCCAGCTATTGGCGATCTGTGTAGACCTTTTCATAGCAGGCTCCGAGACAACTTCCAAGGCACTTAGCTTTGGATTTTTAAATCTAATACTATACCCGCAGGTTCAGAGGAAGGCGCACGAAGAAATAGATAGAGTTATCGGTCGTGACAGATTCCCCACGTTAGCCGACAAACCAAGGTAAACGTCGGTGACCACTTTCACCTGTCTGTAATTGCAGAGAAGTTAATCGTGAGGAATTTTTCGCGTCAAATTTTATTCATATCCTCGTTTTTCAGAATGCCGTATGTTCAAGCCATTGTTCTGGAGTCTATAAGAGTATTCGTGGGCCGTACTTTGAATGTCCCGCATAGAGCATTAAGAGACACTTCCATCATGGGTCACAAGATACCAAAGGTAACCTTATGAAAGATTTAACATTTTAGAAATCAATAAAATAAACGTAATGATTGTGTGGGTATAACATGCGTAAAATATGTGTGCCTTCTTCAGGACACAATGCTCGTTGTAAACTACAATAAATTACTCATGGACGAATCCTGGGACGACCCGGAAGATTTCCGACCAGAGAGATTCCTCGACAACGACGGTAATATCATGACGCCAGAAGAATATTTTCCATTCAGCATCGGTACGTTCTCTTTCTCCTTTACATATACATATACTGCTTTTATTGCAGCAAATATACTGCTATAAAATTTATAATTACACAAATCTAAGCGTAATCATAAACTCGATTCTAAATATGAAATGATTTACATTTTACAGGCAGACATCGTTGCATGGGAGAGGTATTAGCTAGAAGCAATATTTTCTTCATAACCGCCACACTGCTACACGCGTTCAGCTTCTCAGTGGTGCCCGGTGAGCCACGACCGTCCGCGCAAGACTATGTGGACGGTGTCACGGCTGGTCCTAAACCATACAGGGCGTTGGTCTCTCTGAGAATATAAGCTAGACATTTGACTGAAATATTATGAATAGTCTCTACTTATCTCGTTATCAAACTTAATGCTCCAAATAATGTATTAACAATAGGATTATTCTTTTTTTTTAATATTCCCACTTAATGAACCTCCTTATACACAGACTGCAAGATATAATATACATATAGTGCATCGTTGACTTTGATATACAATGTTTGTCACAAAAATATATTTTATTGTTATAGATATATGTATAGGAGTATACAGACAGACAATATATATACATATATAAAGAAAGCTACGCGAAATAAATAATTATTCGTACATTAGAAGAATATAGTCTTCATATCACCGTTTGTTTGATGCACAAACATCTGAATCGACATTCTCGCGTCGCACGTTCGACAATAAGTTTAGCAATGCAAATTAAAGGCTCACCCTTATCCACCGAGTGTGAACCATGAATGTTGCATGCGGAAGGATTAACACGCGAGTGATTAGTAGCGAAATCGAGATGCGCGAACAACAGGTACAGTTCAGTTAAATTTCCCAAACTAAAACGTGATCTTACACAAAGCAAAAGAAAAACACTTATGCTACAGAACTCCAGACTCAACAATATGCCATTGTATACATTCGTAAACTGATTATTCGCAAAAGTGTACCAGAGGCAAATCCATTACATTACCACCTGATTTTTGCGCTCCAACAAATGCTAAAACGCGTGTACTAAGAAAAGAAGCCATACAAAATGTTCGACCTAGTGGCCCGTTTCAGTTAAGTTAAACACATATATCTGTTTGTAATGGACGGTATTGAATTAACAAATGATCCATTCAATGTAATAACACGACGGCAAAATAATAAAAAAATATAAATAATTAATAAACATTTAGAAAATCAGTCGCTTATGCTAACCGTGCAAGTGGTACCGAAAGAGTACTCGAGATTCTTCATCCTTTAGTCAGCTAGGCTGATCCTCTATTATGTGAATCTAATTAAGAAATTGTGTCATTAGAGCAGAAGGGAGAATTAAATATTACATATTGATCTTGTCGGAAATTCTTACCTCGGACAGAATGGCCCAGTTTTCGCTTTCACTGTGTATAGTTAAACGAAGCACCGACACCTTACCCAGTTTTCGATCCACGATCCCTTCGGCAACGCCAAGTACATCAAACTTACCTGATTCATACGACAAATTTTTGTTAACAATCTCTCAAATAACTAAATTATATGATATGTACAAGTTTTCATTACCTATAATAACATAACCGTCCTCCGTCACATCGTTGCTGTTTCTATCTAACAACGGAGACATCTCGGACAATACTTCTACCGTCGTATTGTAAAATCTATCAGACGGGTGTTCAGGATTTCCACTCCTGAATAAGTACCTGCACACCAAGTAACAAAATGATTGTGA